CCTCTTTTCCCCCTCATGCAAGAAGTGTTCTGCACTACACCCGTGGAGCTGAAATGTATGGAGCTTTCCCACCTCTGGGCACTGCACACTTCTCTACACAAGAAAAATCCCGTGTTTTCAAAGGTGATGAACTCCCTCAGTTCACAATGGCTCCAGCATTCCTGAAAACCAAGTTTTATGCTGGGGGAGGGTTTGGTTGGTTGCTTTTTTTTCTCTTTTTTTTCGTGTGGTTTTTTTTTTTTTGCCATCTTTTCACCGAAGAGCATTTGTTACAGGCATATCCAGGGAATCAATTAGGTTGGAAAAGACCTCTGAGATCGTTGAGTCCAACCTATGCCCTAACACCACCTTGACGGCTATTCCATGGCACGGAGTGCCACGTCCAGTCTTTCCTTAAACACCTCCAGGGACAGCGACTCCACCACTTTCCTGGGCAGCCTTCCAATATCTAATCACCCTTTCTATGAGGAAATTCCTCCTAATGTTCAACCTAAACCTCCCGTGGCACAGGTTGAGAATACGTCCTCTCATCCTTGTCCCTGGGAAAACAGTGGCACATTTTCCCTTTATTTCCCGCTAGGACGCCCCGGGATCCCGAGGCTCCAAGGGCACGGGAAGCCGACGCGCTGCCAGTAGCCGCAGAGGCGCCGCGGGGGCGGATCGGCCCTCACGGCTGTGCCCGCCCCGCCGGCGAGGCGGGACGAGCGACAGGCCCCGGAAACCGGAAAGGAGGAAAAAAACTCCAACTGAAACCCCGCCCCCAAAACCCTTCAATTTCCACCCAAAACCCGCCCCGCCCGCTGCCGTGACGTCACGCGCTCCGCCGCTCAGTGCGACGTGTCCCTCGGCCCGCGGTGAGGGCGGCTCGGGGGCCCGGGTGTCCCCCGGCCCTGGGAGACGGGGATAAGGGCTGGGCAAGGGGATTGAGATGGGCAATTCCCGGGACTGCGGCAGGCAGGGGAACCTCGGCCGGAGCGAGGGGGAAGGGGGTCGCTGGGGGCGCGAGAGGGGCCGGCATCATACCGGGACCCCCCCTACCAGCGGGTCCGTGTATCCATGCGCAAATCCCGCCGGTGGTGTCCTGTGTGCGGGGGCAATGCCGGCACACGCCTGCTGTGAGGATAAGGCTCGGGCACAGCGTTCTCTCTCCGTGCTCACCGGCCCCCGGCGGCTTTTGGCCTGGGGGTCTCCTCAAACCGGCGACTTTTGTCTATTTACGCCTTTGGTGGTGGTCTCAGAAACGGCGTAGGGCGTGAGTTGAAAACCCCGCTGTGATGGGGCTGTTTTCCCCTTCTAGGCTGAAAGGCACAATTTTCCATATTTTTTTCTTTAGCAATCAGAAATAGGCCCTCATGTTTATTTAGTGAAACAGTGTCTTCATTTCCTGCAAAGTGGAAGTATCTTAGGTTGGAATGTGACACTTTAGGTTATCTTAAGCCTTTAACAAACTTTGTAGGTAACTGCTACTAATGCAATTAAAAAAATATGGTTTTCAGTATGTATGTGGAGCCATCAATGCTAAATGTGTGTGTCTTTGCAGGCAATCATGGATCAGGTAATGCAATTTGTGGAACCCAGCCGTCAGTTTGTGAAAGATTCCATACGACTTGTTAAGAGATGCACCAAACCTGACAGGAAAGGTAAAGCACACAATAAATCAGAACGCAATCTTTATTTTGTCTTGTATCTTAGCACATGTCTTTCCATATGTCACTTCTGTTGATTTGTTTGCTGTGGATGTTTCTCAGCTGCCAATATGAGATTTAAACTTGAGCTGTAGCTGTCTAAATGTCAATGTGTTTAAGGTTCTGGCTATAATAAACACATGTACCTAGGTGTGAGAGTGGTACTAAAATTCACTTTAGGAGAGAGGTTGAGTAGCTGAAATTCAGTGCTCCACAGTTGCCAGTCATTTCCTGATTGGGATAGGAACAATTTTGTCACTGGGACTAGGGAAGAGGAGGTTTGGGACTAGAAAGGCCCTGGAGAGAAGCTATAGCTAAAACCAGAATGCAGCTGGTCCTCTGAAAGTTACAATGCTTTATTCACATGCTCAGAGTGAACATGTCTGTGACTTAAGTTTGCTGTTGAGATCCATAAGGAACTTCATTCCTTGTCAGACTGGCAGGTTTCTGAGGGGCTATTGACCTTCTTTGTCAACTTCATGGTTGCTGTCCTAAAGTAATTGGAAATATCCCAAGTATTCGATTTTTGTGGGGTCTTACAGTGCTGTCCTCCTGTGACAGACATAAATACAGATTTTCTATTTTTGATGCTGTATTAAAGATTATTTTCAGGGCTTGTAGGGATGTAAAGGAAACATGATGGGATAAATGTTCTATGAATTGTCATTGTAGGTATTTTTGATTCTGCTTATTTAGAAAAGATTGTGATCAGCCATTCATTGTGGAAATCTGCATCTTCTCTCTGAAAATCTCATCTGTCTTCTAAAAAAGTGGGTTTGTTTCTCAGCATCTGTGCAGACTTTGAAGTGTTTCCAGTATGAACATGGTTCTGTAAAGACAGATCTCTCCTTTGGTCTCTGCAGTGCACATATGTATGCCATACATGAGACATCCTAACAAATTTTTTTTCTTGTCATTTTGCAGAGTTCCAGAAGATTGCCATGGCAACAGCAATAGGCTTTGCAATAATGGGATTTATTGGTTTCTTTGTCAAATTGATCCATATCCCAATCAACAATATAATTGTGTAAGTGAATATGGCCTTCAGTTTCACTACATTTTTACCTGTTCAGTTTTAAACAGAGGACATTAGTGAGCCCTATAAAACCCATGTTGTTTTAGTGTCTGTGCATTTAGTGTAATATGACAAGTATTACTTGATTCAAAGGACTTTATGAGCAATGTTAATGAACTTTATCTTAATTCAGCATGCTGCAAAGTATTAGAACCATAGTTCTTAAGGTTTTCTCTGAGTATTCTGCTTCAAAACTGAATGTTAGATATTTTGATCTCCAGTTCCTCAGTGTATGTTTGACCACAGAACAATTACCCTCTTTGGATCTTAAATGCTCTTACTGTTTCCAGTTCATAGTCTGGGTATCCAAAGTAAATGGATGGATGGTAAGGTAAAGAAAACTGAGAGGGTATGCTGTAGGATGACAGGGCACAGAAAAAGGTTGGCTTTGTTTCATTTACTGACTGTTAGACATGTTTGAAACATTGTTTTATATCTAACTGCATCCTGTAAAATGCCTTTTGGAATGAATATTGCATCATGAAGAGTTTGAACTTCAGGTTGACTGGCCCCGTGGTAGTGACATACTAACAGCACCATATTCTCCAGAGCTAATGTGATCCCCTCTCCAGCACTGGAAGAGGTTAAAGACCATTCTCTGCCCGTAATATGTGACTCCCTTACACCTCTAAGAGTGGTCATCCAGGCAAGGAGTGTTTGAAAATGGGAAATAAGCTGTAATGCTTGTCCTAACAGGGCAGTGGTGGGAGGATAAAGTAAGATTTTAGGTGGGATCACTTGATCACAGTTCATTAGTTGAAACTGATTACTTTGTTCTCTCAACAGAGGTGGCTGAATATTCATCATGAAGAAGACAGTTGTGACACCTGCTGCAGTGATTTCACAGCTTTAATTTGTTTGATATTAAACAAGCTCAGTTTGCGTTTTCAAACGTTCTTGTTGTCTTATTACTTTTTTAAATGTATGTGATCATACCTGTCTGCAGGTCTGCAGGCTTGCTTTTTTTTTTTTTTTTATGTAATAGTGGTTGTGTGCTTTACTTGTTTTGTTACTTCTTTTAACCATGGTAGAATCATTCAGGTGGGAAGGAGGCTTTGAAGATTTCTAGTCCAGTGTCCTGCTTGATGCTGGGTCAGTGTTGCATTCTGATGAGGTTGCCTAAGGTTTTCTCCAGTCAAATAGTGAAAGCTTCCATGGGAGACAGCTGTATGACCTCTCTCCAGGAGATGTTTACAAAGCAGTAAATTAAGCTTTGGAACAGCATTGTTCTAGCAAAGTCAGACTGCAAAAAACAGCCTTTCTCTATTTTTTCAAATGGTGTAAAAGTGTATGGGAATTCCTGTCACTCATTTCTGGAATCACCATAATTATCACTAATTCCTTTCTGCATTTGGAAGTCATGCTAGGTTATAGTATGTACTTGACAGGAAAAACACCTCATGTCAAACAAAGAAATTGTATTGCCAGTCCATATTCTGATGGCATAATTAAAACACCCAAACATAATTGATTACTGGGATATACCATTTGAGGATAGTTTAGTTGTCAGAGACACTAAGCAGTCCTTCAGCAAATCCACAACTTGCTCACACTGTTGGATAGGATATATACCCATTTTGGATCCTGTTCTTTACATAGACTTGTGTTGGCCCCCTGCATGTTGAAGTTTCTATTATTTTATGTTATTGCATATTTTGATTTTAAGAACTGAGCCTGCAAAAACTCTGGTAGATGCAATGCTCTTCCTCCTTGGATTGAGATTAAGACATTTAATTCACTTCAAAAATCTTACTGTAAGCATTCGGTATTTGCAGAAGGCACAGTGGTACTTCTGTTACAGACTTTAAAAGCACTTAATACTGGGACATCTGATACTGGTATTACAGCAAAACTGAAGCTTCTTCAGTACACTAATTTGCTTCCTAAGTAGAAAAGTTCAATTATTATTCTTGAGAAATCTTCACCAGCACCTACATATGTTACAAACCAGGACAGAAAAATGAGATTAGTTAATCTTGGTGCTATCACCTTGTGATACAGTTATATTGTGTGCAACTGGATACTGTATTTCCTTTTGGCAGGGCAGGAAAAATAGTTTAGTATTGGAATAAAATACTTTGTAAAAGTAGCCTGAACTAACCAGATAAGCAGCAGCAGCAGTTTTTATTCATTTTGGTTTGTGGTTGTACTGAGTGGCTGCTCATGCATCTTCTGATTAAGTAGATTTACCAGAATGAAGTACTCTATTACAGCAAGTAATTTTGATTCAATCTCAAGTGACTTTTATTTCAGACTTGTTTTTCATTCAATACAGAAAATCAGTGCCTGCTTACATCATGCAGCAGCTTTACTGTCTTAATTCAGCAAAATTTTGTAGTAATTTGAGTTGTGTCAGATCAGATAAGGCAGCTGTAGCTCATCTTAGCTCTTGATAGCCATTGTCCACAGCAGAGGTTTGTCCGTCTCGATGGTCACAATCCCGGAGTTGTCATAGGTGTTGGAAGTACTGACGAGTGTTCCAAACTTCAGCACCTGGTTAGCTGTGAAAAGTAAGGAAGAGACTGAGTGGTTCTCTACAACAATAAAAAGACATCAGTGCATTTGATTTGAAAGACCACTGCTCCCACAAAGAACAAAAAAGTAGCTGAATAAATTCAAACTGGATAAACATTACCTAGTTAAAAGGCTTGTATGAGATTTTTCAATGACCTGAAGAGGCAATAAATTAATCCCCAAATTAACAGTTTGAATTTACAGCAGGTTATTACAAAAGCAGTGTGTTGGATAATCATCAGAGTTTCACATCTGGAAATTTGTATTTCATCAGAATCAGTTCAAATACTAGTGCTAGAAAAGGTATTTAATGTAAAACAAAGAGAATCTTACTGTAGTTCCAAACTTGGGATTTGCTTTAGCTCAGCAACTAGCCTATAATCTTTTAAAACATGAACAGTTCTAAACAAAGGCCAGCAGTGAAAAGTGATATTTAGCAACTTTGAATTAAGGGACTTGAATCTTTTCTTCTACTGCATGTGAGGTAGGTGTTTGTGTACATTAGAAATAACAAATAGCAAACCGTGCAGTTTAAGTTCTGCCTTTCATTTCTTCCCTCTTGAGATAGCGTTGTTTGCATGTTGCAAACATATCAACTTCCTTAAAGGCACTCTAGAACTACTCAGTTCTGTGGTAGTCCTTGCTCATAGGAAGGTTCAGAGTAAGAACTCCAATACTATCCTTTGATTTAGCTTGTAAAACAAGCCAAATGACAGCTCTTTCCCACTGGCAGCTCAGAAAAACATTTCCATGGAGGATACAATGACAGCTGCAGCTGGGGAGGATTGTTCTGGAAGATCAGCAAGTCTGTGTGACCTATCAGAATTGCCAAATCATGCATTGCTACCAAAGTAAAAATCCTCTGGATTTGCTATTAAGTGACCTAATGCAAAGGAAGATCTCCCTGTGGTCAAAAGGAGTGCAAAACAACTTAGTAAGCTCTATTTTGTGATTTGCACAGGAGACACATTTTCCAGTGCTGGATATGAATGCTGGCTGCAGTAAACCTGGGTGTAGTGCATTACTACAATGCATGCACTGTCTGGCCCTTGCTGGAAGCTGCACAGGGGGAACTGATCTTGCCAGGCTCTACTGCTTTAAAAGGAAGGATGTTCAGACAAAAGCCAGGATATGTAGCTCAGTGTCTCTTCTGCCAAATCTGTGCTTGCTCTACTTATTCCTGCTCCTACGCTTGTTACTAGCTTGAAGTGAACTGAAGAGGAGGTTTCAGCTGCTAGCTGAATTTCTTGGCATGAGAGTAACACCCAAGTTTCACTACTGCAAATGGAAGAAATCTGCCATTTCAAGTTCAGGAGCTGGGAGCATAACTGCTATGCAGTGCAGAAATCCAGCAAAGAGAAAAGAAAAAAACCCCAGTACTACTGTACTATGTCAATTGTGTACCTAAAATAAAGGAGCTAGATTCTGTCAGGATGCTTTTGGACACACACCAGTACCAGGCAGGCTCCTAGACAGATGCCAGGATGGATGAGTTTTGGTGTTTGCCTGTAGAAGACACAGCAGAGGCCGCAGGGCCTGTGTCTTGCCAGAAAACACAGATTTCCCAATTTGCAGGTAAACAAGTCATTTAGTGCTGAGGTAACACATGGGAAGAGTTCCCTGAGTAAAAATACTCCCAAAATACTCTGTTAAGTGCTGTGGTCAAGCTATGAGTGTTTCCAGTCAGTTTTAAGTAGGAAAGAAGCTTAAATACTTTAAAAAATTTGCTGACACACAAATTACCTTCTTTTGGTTCCTGTATATTGAAACATGAAGGGGGTGGGGAGGAAGAACTTTTTTGATGAACTACTGTATAAACCCACTCGTTTAGTATCATTTATTGCTTCTTGCTCAAGACTCAGAATAATACTCAGTGTTTCACAGCTTTGCATATAAAATAATGGCTCTGCAGAAGGCAAGAATTAACAACAACATGGCAGCTTAATGAAACAAAATCTAAAGCTGTATTTCTTAGTGCATAAAATCAAGTGAAAATGAGAGCCTTTTTTTCCCCTTTCAATAGAAAATTCTAGCCCACTAGATGGAGCCTTTTATCTTTATCATGTTTTCTGCTGGGCGAGGATCATAGTGTGAAATAGTGAAATGAAAAAAAATGCAAAAACTGTTAAACAGTACTGCTGATTCGCGTGGCTCAAATGGACCAATTCCAAGCACTTGGTTTCACACTAGCCAACATTTCAACTAACATAATTAAAAATGCATGTTTTCCATTCCATAAATGAACAGTAATTAATGTAAAAACCTAGGTTTGAGCCGGTAAAGGAAACAAGAGGATGTGCAAACCTACTGCTGCTAGGCAAACTTCCTGCGGTTTCATGCATTCTGATGGAAGTTTACAAGGTCAAAGAAGTGGTAAGTTTTATCAGTTCACTTTTTTAAAAAGTGAATTTCAATTTTGTTAAGTCCTACCAAGAACTTATGTCTTGGGGGAAAAAAACCCAACCTATTACAACACCCATTTTCACTATTGAGATTACTTTTCAAGATATAGATTCTGAAGAAAAGCACCTTTTTATTTTCTACTATTTAGTAAATAGTTTTGCTATAATTGGGTACCAAATCCAATTTTAATAAAGGATTCCACACTGCAATTAAAAAAAAATCCAAAACTCAAAAACCCTGGAAATTCTATAATTTTCTAATTAAAAGAAATCTTATTTTGGATCACTGAAAGCTTTCTTTTTGACCAATAGTAGTCTCTTTAAAGACTTGATTTGGACAAACCCATAAGTGATTAACTGAAATACCCCTCACCATTAGAAGTTTTGTTGAGTGCTTTAGTTCCGATCAAATTGAGTTTACTGATAATGGATTGTTGATGAGAAAAATACCCAGCTTCTCCACTGTAGCTATACCCTTTTATCATTACTCTCCATTTACCAAGTCAGCAAGGACTTCCAATACTAGAAGCAAATGGTTTTCCTGCCATTTTATGGAGGGGGAGGGAAAAAACCCCACCAATATCCCACCCACCCCCCCAAACTCCCCACCCAACAAAATCTACCATGAGACAGTTTTTTTATGGTGTGTCTCGTGCTCTTACCAGTAGCAAATTTCTGCCTGATGGATTGCAGCACACCACTTATTCAGAGATAGACATGAGCATGGAGAGAACTGACTTTGATGGGGTAGTGGAGAAATGTTTCTCTGGCAGTTTTTGTTTTGTTTAGATGGTGTTTCAATCTGCCAGGATTTGAGAATCCTTTGATGGGGTAGGGGAGAAATGTTTCTCTAGCAGTTTTTGTTTTGTTTAGATGGTGTTTCCATCTGCCAGGATTTGAGAATGTTGGACATAATTTAAGAGAAGAAAACTGATAGCATGCAGGTTAACTTCCCAAAGGAGCATAATCACAAAGATCATTATTTCTTATCTGTTTTGCTGACCAAATTACATGACAGAAGAGATCTCAGTAACCGCAAGACTGGCACTATTTTATTGCTCTTACTGTGATAATTTTAAAAAAGTATACAAATCATAGGATGCTATATGAAAAATGTTAATCTCAGAGGTAAAATTCTGAAAATTCATGAATCTTATGGATGCAAGAACAACATTTGGAAATGGTAACAGAATGCACCCTCTAGGTAATTAAGTTACAGAAACAATCAAAAACCTGAAACCTAAAAATTTATTTTAAAATCTCATCCTAGTTATCCTTCTACCACAGTAGGGAGTTATTTTTGAGTGGCTGGTACTGAAAATCAGTTATTTTTGAGTGGCTGGCACATAAGCCTTGCTTGTAATCTTTGTGCTGCTGGCTTTCAGCCTGGAAACTGAGAAATAGTGTGGCCTAGTTATAACTAGATTGGAGGTCATCATGTCAAGTGCTGCAAAAATACTCTCAACATCAGGTAATTCCTCTTAATGAATGTATTCATAATCTAGTAGACTTATAATTTCTATGTTCCATTGTACTATTTAGGACACTTAAAGTTCAGTGCAGAAAAGAGAACTTATCTATCTAAAAAAAAAAAAACAAACCAATCAAGATTTCATTTACATCTTAGAAGCTGCACTTAAGTAGTGCTTGAGGGAGAAACATTTAGAGAAAAACTTCAGCCTAAACTTGTTCAGAGAAAAACTTCTTCCTAAACTTGTCATATATGGCAAAACCAAATAATGTCAGGGTCTCACTATTGTCACCACAAATGGCTCAGGACCAAAGACTATCATGTTAAGCATGTCCCACATGGACACTGTGATTCTTATGCTATGCTGCCTTTTCTCAACTGTCTCAATTACTTCCTGAAATATGTAAAGTCACACCTTGCTGGTTTCCACCACTGAAAATAGAAACAAGGGAAGGAATACAAGCAGATTGCCACTGCTGACATGAATGTGGGGAATATGAAAATTATTACTTATTAATTAAAAGCCCTATTATAGTGAATGTAATACTCTTCTCCCAAGGCAAATGCTGCATCAAAATGATAGAAAATTAAGATCAATAAGCTGAAACACAAGCTAAAGTGAAATATTGAATCACCATTTGGTATCCTATTACAGTTTATCTGGAGAGGATTTCCCTGAAGTTCTGTTAGGAGCAAAAATCTGCATTTAAATGGAGATACATTAGTAATGCATGAGCTAGTACTTTGCAGGTCACCCTGTGTCTGCAGAACAGCAGCATTAATTTTACTATTTACAAATAAAAATCCCAAGTAGATTGTAGGCTGATCTTCCTTCCATTCCTCCTAGGTTTACACTTGTGGTTAGCCTGACTTCACTGGAGTTAATCTTGATTTACACTGATGGATACAAAGGAAAAATTGGGTGCTTGATCTCTGTGCAGTGGGAACTGTGAAACTAGAAGTTGCAAATAACAGTAATTTACAATAAAACATGAACTATTTTCAATAGTGATACAACAGAAGTACCATAAAGGCTTGCTGAGTCTGCTGGGAGGGGCTGACTACCCTGCTAGTCAGATTCCCTCAGGGCCAAGGGGAGTTTGGAATAAGCAGA